ACGGAGACCCATAGACTCGCACGGAGACCCATAGACTCGCACGGAGACCCATAGACTCGCACGGAGACCCATAGACTCACACAGAGACACACAGACTCGCACGGAGACCCATAGACTCACACGGAGACCCATAGACTCACACAGAGACACACAGACTCGCACGGAGACCCACAGACTCGTATGGAGACCCACAGACTCGTATGGAGACCCATAGACTCGTACGGAGACCCATAGACTCGTACGGAGACCCATAGACTCACACGGAGACCCATAGACTCGCACGGAGACCCATAGACTCGCACGGAGACCCACAGACTCGCACAGAGACCCATAGACTCGCGCGGAGACCCATAGACTCGCACGGAGACCCATAGACTTGCACGGAGACCCATAGGCTCGCACCGACTGAGTTGTGATTGAACCGTGTTCTTAAGTGCAGTGAGTTGATGGTCTCAGTCCGGTCACCAGTGAAGAGAAGAAAATATAACCCTGGCTACATTGAACTTGGTTCTGCACAGCTCACTTGAATACCGACTCTAGCATCACGCGACGGACGTTACGCTTGGGATGTCTGGGAAAGTTCTGCTGCCCTACTGCTGCCCTACTGCTGCCCGACTGTGGACCGCAGGAGCGTCATTTTAATTTGTGATCTCGGATGGAGCTCTGTGCTATCCACTTCAGTGGCCCCGTTATCCAACACGTTCACCGATAGCAAAATCTTCGGACAAAATACGGGGGAGGGGGCGGGGGGGGAGGCGGGGCTTGAAACGCGTCTTATAAAGCGGAGAATACTGAACGAGTTTGATTTGTTGTTATGGTGGTTCATTGTCTCCACAACTGCGTTGCAATTATCATCGTGAACACTTGGGCAGAGTTTATCCACCACAATTGTGATTTGTCGATGCCTTACCCGACATCCGTGTTGTGATAAGATCGTGCGTCAGCGGCGTGCGTTATTATCTCGCCACGTCGTTTTCACCTCTTTTTAAAATTTATTTTAAAATATTGACCCCGAACCAAAAAAAAAGTGGCGCGTTAATTCCTGCTACGTCGTCAAAACTCGCGACTAAAAAAACTTAAAGAGTTTCTGATGCGCGCGCGTGCACATCTGCTGCTGCCATTCGCCACGAAGTGGCAGTGACGTCATCATCTTTACCCGTGCCAGGCTCGGTGCACTTTTGAGGGCACGTGGATTTGGGCCTGGGATCTTTGGCAGGTTGTGTGGGAATTGGGCCTCGTAGCTGCAGGGATACAAGAGGTGAAGGTGTTCTCTGCTGGAAGGAGGTCACGGGACCAGACTCTGCAAGTGCCATGGGTTCACTGCCTGAGATGACTGGCAGATGCACCACCTGCAACCCCCTGCTGTGCCACATCGCTGCGTTTTAGCCGCCCGGCGCTCCGCTCGTCGTTGCGATCGTCGCTCCTCTGCCCTCCGCTCTTGCTGGGAGGGCGACTGCCGCCTTCAGCTGCCTAGCAGCGGCGGCAGTGTCGTTCACGACCCTCCTCCGCAGAGGCCGATCTTGACACCGCCGGTAGCGGCCGTCGGCAAGTCCCACTCGGCTCCACGTCCTCCCGTACCGCGTCGGGCTCCATCTCTTCTCGAGGCCGTGCCGCGTCCGTTTAAGCCCCCCCCACCCATCGTCTGTCCGGCCAAACGGAAGCTGCTTGGGCATGCGGTGGCTGGGCACGCGGTGGCTACGGGGGACCCAGCCGACTTGACGACGGACGAGGACTGTGTCCCCAGATCGTTCCAGAAACCCTGTGATCTCTCCCCCCCCCCTCCCGCCCTGGATCGTAGGGCCTAGGGCCAGCCTGAACGTTTGTGACGGTTTCCTCAGGAGGGTTTCCCACGTTTCGAATGGAGTAGCTCCGGAAGGAGGAGGGTGCGCCGACGTGGTGGTCAGCGGGGAACGGGTGTTTGACCGACCCCGCCGTGTGTTTCACTGACCCCCTCCGCTGTTTGTTTGACCGACCCCACCCCCCCTCCCCCGCTGTGATTGACCGACCCCCTCACACACACTGTGACCGACTTCACCGCTTTGGTACCGCCCGATGTTGATCGCGAGTCACACTCGACCTCAGGTCCGCGCTGTACCACCAACGACCAGCAAGCAAGCAAGCATACCACCCACCGACGCAACAACAACAAACACAGACACCAACAACAATAATAACGTATAAGTGTATCGGATTTTCTTCATTTTAAGTTCTCAGTTTTAAACAAAATAATAAAAACTTTGTATTTTAAACGAAAAACTTTCACACACAAACCCCCCTATTATATTTAGTCGCTATACCAAGGGGGGTGGGGGGGGGGGGGAGTGGTGGGGGTGGGAGTTTCTCGCTTATTATTTTCCCCCCACACCCCACCAACCCCACTTCTTCCCCAAGCCCGCCGGTTATAAGAAACATTAAGTAACGGGATTTCCGCGGCGATCGTGGTCTGTTCGTTGGTTTGTGTCGCGGTCCATCCCTCCCCCCCCCCCCGCCCCCACCACCCATCAACGCCTCGGGTTTCGGAGGCTGGAAAGGAAATCGCAAACCAACCCAGGCAACAAGTCGCGCCGTGAGACCCGTCTCGGCTCCAAATAATGTGACTCGTCGCCGCGGTGGGAGAGCGAGAGAGAGAGAAAGAAAATGTGTATATTTTGCCCGAATTAAAACTTTAAAAAAATTACAAATCTAGCGGCACGGACTCATTTTCTTACCTCCACCTTCCCCCCCCCCCCCCCCGGGTCGGGCGCGGCGTTTAAACGTCGTCTTGTTTACCCGTTGTGTGCAAAACTAGCCCCCTACTGGCCAAGACTAATCAGCGCTGTCCTACCAGACAGTCTCGTCCCTTCACCTGATGAAGGCCGCTTGTGTTGTGGCCAAAACGTCGTGAGAATATTATTGTGTTATTTTATTTTATCAATTTATTATTTTATTCTCATTCTACGTGACTTTACCCAAAGAACCAAAGAAGATGAATCATTGCAGTCACGAAAGCTTTAAATCGAAACTAATTAGAGAATATATCCAAAATCTTGATTGGAAGCTTTCGAGACCGCAGGAATCCACACTCGTCGGTTCTTCCGGAAAAGTCATCACGTGGGTATAAACTAAAATAAATCGCGTGACGTTTCGATCGCAACACAGGCGGTCGTCCTCGGGCGGAAGAAATATAATCCGGCAGTGGAACCGCTGAACCTATCGAAATAAAAATAATTTGAACCGTTCGGATAGCTACCGCCTTAGTGCTGCTTGGAAGCGAATCGTCAAATAATACGTAAACGCGTGCCTAATAAAGGGTGGCATACTACAATAGGGATTGCCGTTGATGCGGCTATTTTAACACATTCTCCTGCGGAGGGAGCTGGTCGGAACGTTGGGTTGCTCGGTCAGTGGCCAGGGTCAACGGCACCACCACGTGGTGTATTCCGCAAATATGCCCGACTGTGAGGGCGGGCACAAGCCGGCGTGAGTAGGTTAAACGTTGAGTTTTATAAGGGCACCACGGGGTGACCAGCCCCTCCCCACCCAGCCCCTCCCCACCCTCCCCACCCAGCCCCTCCCCACCCAGTGGTGGTCGTGGTGATGACGATGGTGCTGATATTGATGGTGGCGTGGCCGTGGTGATTATGGTGCTGCTGTTGGTGGTGATGGTGTTGGCCATGATGGTGCTGTTGCCGCTGGTGATGGCGAGGGGTTGATGGTGCTGGTGGTGATAATGATGGTGATGATGATAATAGTGCTGTTAGTGGTGGTGATGATGATGATGATGGCGCTGTTGTATAATCGTGGACAGATTCGTGGTTATTATCCCATGGTGAGATACTGCGACCCCTTCGCTCGCCCGGAAAAGAAAAAAAACAAAATCCTCCGTCTCGAGAAATGGTTTTCAGGAGTGTCCCGCGACATTCAGGAATTCTTCTCTGGCGTGCGATGGTTGAGACATTGCACTTCCAATCCAATGGCATTATGAGTAGTCAACCTACTTGCAGTGCTGCAGTCAAAAGTCAAAGTCACTTGGCGCTCATCTCGAATGCCAAATCGTGGGCCGGCGGTGGAAATTCTCACGTTGGGGTAAAACGTGGAGCAAATACCCCCACCCCACACACGGTTATGGATAGGCGTAGCGTCTGTCGGAATGACATTCACCTTCGCCCGTAACTCCCTCGCCCTCCCCCCCCCCTTTGTTGCAATGGGCCGTTCCACGCCTAACCCCGCTTAACGCCCGCATGGGTTCAACCATTGTTCATTGAGGGATGTTTCGCACGCTATAATTTTTTTTTAATGGGACTTCATAGCCGCAATCAAATGCGTACACCGTAACCACCGACTCTTGCTTAATTGAAATGGTACGCACCTCTATAAACAGTGGATTGGACCATTGCTTTCAAGATGACTGCTGTGTTAATTTGAAATACACCCGCACGCCATATGAACAAATCACCCCTTAAACGGAATGGCGCTTACCCCCTTGCGTCTCATCAACAGCAATGTATCGGATCATACCATTACGCATTTTTAGGGGTAGTTGGAAATGCTGCAATGCGCCGCTGTCCGAAACGAGACGAATGTTTACTGCCCTGTAAATGCAATGGTTTCGCCCGCAACGCCCATTAGAATCGCAGGGGCGCGGGTCGTACCATTATTAATTAGGGGTAGTTTGAATGCCACTGCAATGGCTGTTTTTAATAAAAAAAATTTTTTTTTTAAACACGGAACGTGTCACCTAATTTCATTATAACAATCGTCACTCCCTTGAACGTGCGTCCCACTCGACAGCACCATTTGGAGTAAACATTCCTGGACGTTCCCATTATTCAATTTTGGGGTTGGTCGTAAACACTGCAATGCGCCCTAGAACCCACCCTCCTCCCCCTCCTCCTCGTATCCATTCAAGATAAAAAAAATTGTAAACAGACCTTTAAATCTCGAACCCCCAACTTACATTCGCGGTGGTACATCCCACGCGCGCGCGCCCCGTTTAAATCAATGCACCGCGGACCGTACCATTCACGTCAGCGGTTCCAGAGGAGGGGGGCTGGTTGGTGTTGAACACCGCGGTCGAGCACCATTGACATCAATTGCAGCGGCACGGGCAGCTGTGATGTCGGTGTAAAAGCCCGAGCGGCAAAGGAATTGCTTTGCAAATAATAATAACAACAGAAATAATAAGTGCACCGTTATTGACGAGGGGGGTGGGTGGGGTGGTGGGTTAAATTTGATTTTTTTTCGTGTGTGTGTGTAATTGTAAAGCGAAGGGTGACAAAAAAATATTTATATATTCAAACAACAACAACACAACAACAACAACAGCAATCAAACAAGGGCGATTGATCATGGGGAACCGCGGAATGGAAGATTTAATTCCGCTCGTGAATCGAATGCAGGACGCGTTCACGGCCATAGGGCAAAACTGCAGCCTGGATTTGCCGCAGATCGCAGTGGTCGGATCGCAGAGCGCCGGCAAAAGCTCCGTCCTTGAGAATTTCGTGGGCAGGTAAAACAAACGGACCACCACCACCACAACCACCACAATCATCATTGTGTAAGAAAAAAAAATAGTTTAAATTTTTTTTGTAAAAATAAAAAAATAATGCGTGTGTAAATTGAGGCCTACGTTTTGTCGGTCTTTCGTGGGCGAGCACCGGACTAACCTGAGTGGGCCCCGCCGGCCAAGGCGCGACTCGGGCCGCGGTAGCAGCGGCGTTTATGAGACGCGTCCCGTTACTTGGCGAACAACGCTCGAAATGTTTGTTAAAAGTAGTTAAATTTGTAGGCGTAGTCGTTAAACCCGCCACCACCCGACACGGCCAATTAGTGACTAGCACAGCATTAGTGTGTCGTGTATAGTGTAGTGTATAGTGTAGTATACTAATATAGCACTGGTGTGTAGTGTATAGTGTAGTATACTAGTACAGCACTAGTGTGTAGTGTATAGTGTAGTGTATAGTGTAGTATACTAGTACAGCACTAGTGTGTAGTGTATAGTGTAGTGTATAGTGTAGTATAATAGTACAGCACTAGTGTGTAGTGTATAGTGTAGTATACTAGTGTATAGTGTAGTGTATAGTGTAGTATACTAGTACAGCACTAGTGTGTAGTGTATAGTGTAGTATACTAGTACAGCACTAGTGTGTAGTGTATAGTGTAGTATACTAGTACAGCACTAGTGTGTAGTGTATAGTGTAGTATACTAGTACAGCACTAGTGTGTAGTGTATAGTGTAGTATACTAGTACAGCACTAGTGTGTAGTGTATAGTGTAGTGTACTAGTACAGCACTAGTGTGTAGTGTATAGTGTAGTGTATAGTGTAGTATACTAGTACAACACTAGTGTGTAGTGTATAGTGTAGTATACTAGGACAGCACTAGTGTATAGTGTAGTATACTAGTACAGCACTAGTGTGTAGTGTATAGTGTAGTGTAGTATACTAGTACAGCACAGTGTGTAGTGTATAGTGTAGTATACTAGTACAGCACTAGTGTGTAGTGTATAGTGTAGTATACTAGTACAGCACTAGTGTGTAGTGTATAGTGTAGTATACTAGTACAGCACTAGTGTGTAGTGTATAATGTAGTATACTAGTACAGCACTAGTGTGTAGTGTATAATTTAGTATACTAGTACAGCACTAGTGTGTAGTGTATAGTGTAGTATACTAGTACAGCACTAGTGTGTATAGTGTAGTATACTAGTACAGCACTAGTGTATAGTGTAGTATACTAGTACAGCACTAGTGTGTAGTGAATAGTGTAGTGTTTAGTGTAGTATACTAGTACAGCACTAGTGTGTAGTGTATAGTGTGGTGTACTAGTACAGCACTAGTGTGTAGTGTATAGTGTAGTGTATATTGTAGTATACTAGTACAGCACTAGTGTGTAGTGTAGTATATAGTGTAGTTTACTAGTACAGCACTAGTGTGTAGTGCAGGGGTGGGCAAATTTTTTGACTCGCTGGCCACAATGGGTTCTAAAATTTGACAGAGGGGCCGGGCCAGGTACAGATGGATGGAGTGTTTGTGTAAACTAATATAACTGACGTGTAAAAATCATTACATGAAAGGATTTGGCCTTTAAGGTAGCAAAGCATTTATTTGCAAGGCAAAGTGCGCCATCTAATGGGGAAATGGGGGCATTACAGGAGAAAGGTAAAATTTAATTCAATAATAATAATGTTTGGACAAGTTCGACAGGCCGGATTAAAAATCCCAACGGGCCGTATATGGCCCGGGGGCCGTACTCTGCCCATGTCTGGTGTAGTGTATAGTGTAGTATACTAGTGCAGCACTAGTGTGTAGTGTAGTGTGTAGTATACTAGTACAGCACTAGTGTGTATTGTAGTGTGTAGTGTAGTGTATAGTGTAGCATACAAGTACAGTACTAGTGTATAGTGTAGTATGCTAGTACGGCACTAGTGTGTAGTGTATAGTGTAGTATACTAGTACAGCACTAGTGTGTAGTGTATAGTGTAGTATACTAGTACAGCACTAGTGTGTAGTGTATAGTGTAGTGTATAGTGTAGTATACTAGTACAGCACTAGTGTGTAGTGTAGTGTGTAGTGTAGTATACTAGTACAGCACAAGTGTCTAGTGTATAGTGTAGTGTATAGTGTAGTATACTAGTACAGCACTAGTGTATAGTGTAGTGTATAGTGTAGTATACTAGTACAGCACTAGTGTGTAGTGTATAGTGTAGTATACTAGTACAGCACTAGTGTATAGTGTAGTGTATAGTGTAGTATACTAGTACAGCACTAGTGTGTAGTGTATAGTGTAGTGTATAGTGTAGTGTACTAGTACAGCACTAGTGTATAGTGTAGTGTATAGTGTAGTATACTAGTACAGCACTAGTGTATAGTGTAGTATACTAGTACAGCACTACTGTGTAGTGTATAGTGTAGTGTATAGTGTAGTATACTAGTACAGCACTAGTGTGTAGGTCTTCATTTACACAGACGCAGCATTTCTCCTGCTGTCTGTTCCAGCCGATAACGGACGCTTGTGTTTGCGATCGAAACATCGTGATTTAATTCATTTTACTTCCTACCTACGTGATGACTTTACCTGAAGAACCAACGAGTTCCATTCAACATATTCGACCGCGGGTTGTTTCGTTTGGTAGAGCGTGAGACGGCAAATGGGTTCTTTATCCTTGATAACTTTTGAGATATGGTAATAGGTTTTTACCCTTTTAACTGGCACAACAACTGACACCTTTATTCAAGGCATCATGTTTGCAATAACCACAACACAAGCAGTCAAAATGCAAACAAAAGAGACAACTCTGATAATGATATTGGCACTGTCCTTGAATTTGATTGGTCCACACCCGAGACGGCTTTTCTTAGAGCCTCGTCTCCACTGGTGTTGGACCAGAAGACGCCAAAAGGCGTACAGCTCAAAAACAGCGCACTATCAGAGTATTGAGGGCTCGGGGTGAGCATTTACATTATGAGACCTCCTTTGCCAGCAACAAGCTATAGTAATAGGTTCTACCCTTTTAACTGGCACAAAAACTGACACCTTTATTCAAGGCATCATGTTTGCAATAACCACAACACAAGCAGTTCGAAAACGGTCAAAGGTAGCAAAGCTTACTCCTCGTAGACTATTAAGTTAATTGATTTTTTTTCTTCGTTCTTTCTCGTGACAAAAAGAAACGGAACTCTTTTTTTTTAATTGAGCGGTGGACGGTGATGGGCGAAGTGTTTAAATGTAAGAAGTTGAAGCGATGTCGCCAACTATTGGTCGTGGAAAAATAGCGAATGTTTGGGGTACTTGTTACGTGGTCTGATCAAGACTGTAAAGAAATCAAATCAGGTTTATTATGAGATGTATCTTGTTGAAACCTTTTCGCCTGGCGAAGACAGCCTCCTTATGATCATGTTGACGGTGATGGTATAGGATTGGACGTCCGCTAGAGGCCGCTATAAGGGATATCCACTCAGGAGGAGTTCTGACAAAAATTTTTTTAATCCTTTTCTTCCACATTGGTCACCGGTGGTAGAGGGTGGGACGTTACCCACAATTCACCCCACCACACGCGACTCATTTAAGACAAAAGTGGCATCTCTTCCCCCCCCCTGGTGCCTAGGAGATGTTAACTACCTCGCCTGGTGTACAGGAGGTCGTGGGTTCCATCCCGACCCTGACGACGCCTGCTGCTGCTGCTGTATATTTGGAGTCTGCGTGTCTCTCTCTGTCATCATCATCACGGTGGCTAGGAGATGTTAACTACCTCGCCTGGTCTACAGGAGGTCGTGGGTTCCATCCCGACCCTGACGATGCCTGCTGCTGCTGTATATTTGGAGTCTGCGTCTCTCTCTCTCTCTCATCATCATAACGGTGGCTAGGAGATGTTGACTACCTCGCCTGGTCTACAGGAGGTTGTGGGTTCCATCCCGACCCTGACGCCTGCTGCTGCTGTATATTTGGAGTCTGCATGTCTCTCTCATCATCATCACGGTGGCTAGGAGATGTTAACTACCTCGCCTGGTATACAGGAAGTCGTGGGTTCCATCCCGACCCTGACGACGCCTGCTGCTGCTGCTGCTGTAGATTTGGAGTCTGCGTGCCTCTCTCTCTCATCATCATCACGGTGGCTAGGAGATGTTAACTACCTCGCCTGGTCTACAGGAGGTCATGGGTTCCATCCCGACCCTGACGATGCCTGCTGCTGCTGTATATTTGGAGTCTGCGTGTCTCTCTCTCTCATCATCATCACGGTGGCTAGGAGATGTTAACTACCTCGCCTGGTCTACAGGAGGTCGTGGGTTCCATCCCGACCCTGACGATGCCTGCTGCTGCTGTATATTTGGAGTCTGCGTGTCTCTCTCATCATCACGGTGGCTAGGAGATGTTAACTACCTCGCCTGGTCTACAGGAGGTCTGTGTGTCTCTCTCTCTCATCATCATCACGGTGGCTATGAGATGTTTACTACCTCGCCCGGTCTCCAGGAGGTCGTGGATTCCATCCCGACCCTGACGCCTGCTGCTGCTGCTGCTGTAGATTTGGAGTTTGCATATCTCTCTCTCTCTCTCCCCGTTGTCACGTGGATTTTTTCTCCGGGTCCTCCGGTTTTTCCCTCCACATTTATAATCGACATCGCCACGCGTTTAAGGCTACAGTAAAAACCTTGGATTTGCGTGCATAATTCGTTCCGGAAACGTGTTTGTAATCCAAAGCACTCGTATATCAAAGCACTCCGTACGTCAGTTGTGTGATCACGTGGCGCTCGGCAGTACAAAGCGTGCACACGTGCGCTTCTGCTCGTGTTGCAAGACCCCCTCGCTCGTTTATCAAATTAATATTTTTTAAAAAAATGTTGTTCGTCTTGAAAAACACTCGCAGACCAAGGTTTTACTGTACGTATTTGGCTGCCGCTATACGTGTCCGCACGCCAACGATGATGATGGTGATCCACTGCTTCGTTGAGCTATCATTTGTGGTTTGCCAGGTCGCTTGTGACTAAAGAGCTAAAGGTAGCACAGTGTAGGCCTAAAACTACAAATCTTGACCGAAAGCTTTCGTGACTGCAGGAATTCGTATTCGGCAAAGCCACGCAAGCAATCGTCCTCAGGTGAGGACGATTGCTTGTGTTGCCTTCGAAACGTCGTGATATTTGTATTAAGAAAAATTTCTATCTACGTGGCTTTACCGAAAGACCCAAAGAATACTAAAAATACAAGTTTAGTTGTAGTATGGGTCTCGATGTGTATGGGTCTCTGTGGGTCTCTATGAGTACGGGTCTCTATGGGTCTCTGTGGTCACTTCTGAAAAAAAGCTTTTTATAGCCTTGCCGGCCTTCTTAAAACACATTCTCCTGCGGAGGGAGGGAGCTGGTAGGAACGTTGGGTTGCTCGGTCAATGGCCAGGGTCAACAAGGGCGGCACCACCACGTGGTGCATTCCGCACAATATGCCCGACTGTGAGGGCGGGCACAAGCCGGCGTGAGTAGGTTAAATGTTGAGTTTTATAAGGGCACCACGGGGTGACCAGCCCCTCCCCACCCAGCCACACCCCTCCCACCCCCCACCCAGCCCCACCCCTCCCCACCCAGCCTCCGTCCACCGAGCCCCACCCCTCCCACCCCCCACCCAGCCCCACCCTCCCCACCCTCCCCACCCAGCCCCTCCCTCCCCACCCAGCCCCTCCCCACCCTCCCCTCTCCACCCAGCCCCACCCCTCCCATTTTTGGATGCACGACGGACGGACAGACACAATAATCCCCTGTGGGCTGCTGGTGTAGTAACCAGGAGGCTCCTACACAGTATGAGTGCCGCTACACACTAAGAGCACCTGATCAATGCGTCTGTGTCCGCGCGTGTGTCTAGGGATTTCCTGCCGAGGGGATCTGGGATCGTGACGCGGAGACCCCTGATTCTTCAGCTGTGCACGGCCGACACCGGTACTGGCGCAGAGACAGCTGTGCAGTGCCTCTTGCAAAAGCTGTGTGTGTGTACACCTGTGTGTGTGTGTGTACACCTGTGTTTGTGTGTGTACACCTGTGTGTGTGTGTACACCTGTGTGTGTGTACACCTGTGTGTGTGTACACCTGTGTGTGTGTACACCTGTGTGTGTGTCACTGTGTGTGTGTCACTGTGTGTGTGTACACCTGTGTGTGTCACTGTGTGTGTCACTGTGTGTGTGTCACTGTGTGTGTGTGTGTCACTGTGTGTGTGTGTCACTGTGTGTGTGTGTGTGTACACCTGTGTGTGTACACCTGTGTGTGTGTCACTGTGTGTGTGTGTACACCTGTGTGTGTGTGTGTCACTGTGTGTGTGAGTGTACGCCTGTGTGTGTGTGTCATTGTGGGGAGCGATAGTGTAGCGGTTAGCGCGCTGCGCTATGAACCTGGCGACCCGGGTTCGATTCCCGCTCACGGCCAACACCAGTGACGATTATCTGAACCGGTCCCGGGCCTCCCCTAGGTCGACTCAGCCTCAAATGAGTACCTGGTGCGGTGTGTAAACATCGCCACTAGGGAGACAAAGGCGGTCGGGCGTGGTGCTGGCCACCCAGCCCCTCGTGTAACGTTCCGGCCTTCATAGGTGCTCGCTAACAGCACTTGCCCCTACAGTCTGTTAAGGCTATATGGGGGATCTTTGTCTTTGATCTTTGTAGGTGTGTGTGTGTAGGTGTGTGTGTGTAGGTGTGTGTGTGTGTAGGTGTGTGTGTAGGTGTGTGTGTAGGTGTGTGTGTAGGTGTGTAGGTGTGTGTGTAGGTGTGTAGGTGTGTTTAACTCGTGGTTTAGTGGTAATTAATTGAAGGTGGAGGGGTTACCAGCCCCTCGCACCCGTCCAGAGCCGCCGTTTAGCCCCTGTGGTGGACACATATGCCATGAGGGGAGGAGCCAATCAAAATTGGAACCTCCCCCCACAGCACTGTCCACGACAGAGTTGCCCATCCGGCACCGCGAGGAGGTAGGGGGTTGTTTTGCCGGACTAAATCTGCAGGTTTGCCGATTTGCTGAGCATTTCTGTGAGGTCCTGGGGGAGGGAAAATCCCTCAGCCAGGAAAACATCGTGGCACAAAGTGAGGATGACCCTGCTGAGGCTGCAGTGCCTCAAATATTGGAAGAAGTCACCCCCTGTGAGTGGCTGGCTGAGGTGCCATCTGTTGAGGAAGTGCTGAAGGCGATCCGGAGTCTGAGACCAGGAAAGGCAGCGGGCAGAGATGATCTCCCAAGCGAAATGCTGAGGGAGGGCGGCGTTTGTGCACAGACTGCCCTATATGACATCATAACAACAGTCTGGACCACTGGACGGGTTCCGCAGGATCGGAAGGATGCCCTGGTGGTCCCCCTTTTTAAGAATGGGGACCGCACAGACTGTAACAACTACAGGGGCATCTATATCCTCAGTGTGCCGGGAAAGGTCCTGGCAAGGATTATTCAACATCGCCTTGCCAGGCACGCTGAGGAGAGGCTTGCGGAGCCCCAATGCAGTTTCAGGAAAGGGCGGTCCTGCACAGATGCCATATCTTCTGTCTGTCTGCTACAGCAGAGGTGTAGGGAATTCCAACAAGACCTACATCTCTGCTTATTGACATGGTCAAGGCCTATGATACAATCAGTAGGCCTGGGCTCTGGGTTCTTCATGCTTTTGGAGTACCTGACCCTCTGCTCACGATCATTAAGGATCTTCATGATGGTGAGCGGGCCCGGGTAAAACTACGTGGCCGGGAGTCAGAGCCATTCCCTGTTAACCTTGGGGTGCGACAGGGATGTCCTCTGGCTCCCACATTATTTAACATCTATTTTGACCACGTAGTTCGTGAAGCCTTCAATAGCTGTACCGGGGGAATCTCCATATGGTACAGATATAATGGGAGGCTAATCGATGCCCGGGTGCGGTCAAGGGATGGCTCCCTATTGCTCAACCACGTTATGTATGCTGATGATTTGATAATAGCTGCTCAGTCAGAGGAGGAGTTGGAGACGCTGCTGCTGAGACTGGAGCGTGCCACTAAGAGGTGGGGCCTTACCATCAGCCCCACCAAAACTAAGCACCTGCCTGGGTATTTTGTACCATCGGACACTCCACCGCCACAACTTCCAATCGGTGATGGGGCAGTTGTGGAGAGAGTGGAGAGTTTCCCATACCTGGGCAGTGTGCTTATGACTGGCTCCAGTTTAACAGCAGAGGTCTCACTCCGAATCAGTCGAGCGGCAATATCTTTTCATCGGTTGCGTAACGCTGTGTGGAAGCTACCTGGTCTGTCGCTCCGCACTAAGCTTCAGGTCTTCTCGGCCATGGTCATTCCCTCCCTTCTCTACGCTTGCGAAACGTGGACCCCCCTAATGGAACATCTTCGCCGGTTAGAAACATTTAGGCTGGCCTGCCTACGATCCATCCTGGGTTTAACCAGACTGGATTGTGTGAGGAGCTCACAAATCCTTGAAAGATCTGGGCAAGGGTCCTATCGGTGAGCTCCTCCGGCAGGGCAAGGCTGCGATGGCTGGGTCATGTAGCCCGCATGCCCAGCCACTGCATGCCGAAACAGCTTTTGTTTGGCCGGATTGAGGGGGCTAAGCGGGCGCGGCACGGGCTAGAGAAGAGATGGAGTGATGTGGTACAGGAGGACGTGGAGCTGAGTGGACTTGCCGATGACTGGTACCAGCGGTGTCAAGATCGGCCTCTGTGGAGGAGGCTCGTGAAGGACGCTACTGGGCAGTTGGAGGCAGTCGCCCTCTAACAACAACGGAGGGTGGAGGAGCGACGCTCAGAACAACGAGCGGAGCGCCGGGTGGCTAAAGCACAGCAGGTTGGCACAGTAGGGGGCACAGGTGGTGCATCAGCCAGTCATATCAGTCAGTCGACCCGTGGCACCTGGGTCTGCCCCGTGACCTCCTGCCAGCAGGCGTTCGACACTTCACGTGGCCTCAGGGTGCACATAGCCTGGCACAAGCGTCGTGGTGACGTCACTGCCACTTAGTGGCGAATGGCGGTTGTTGTTGTGTGTGTAGGTGTGTGTGTGTGTGTGTGTAGGTGTGTGTGTGTGTGTACACCTGTGTGTCGCCATCTCACCAGGTTCTTCGGGCGAGAATTAATAACGCGCGACATCACAGCGCCACACACTCGGTCCCAGCTCCCTCCTCCTGATGGTGGGGGCTCGTTTCTCGCTGCGTCTCCCCCCGCGTGTCTCCCCATAATCCTGTCTCCCTTGTCTCCTGTGTCCACTACATGTCCCCCCCCCCTCGTATCCCGTTGTGCCCCCCCGCGTGTCTCTCCCATGTCCCCCCGTGTCCCCCCCGTGTCCCCCCCCTCTGTCCCCGACGTGTCTTCCCCGTGTCCCCCCGTGTCTCTCCTGTCTCTCCCGTGTCCCCCCGTGTCTTCCTCGTGTCCCCCCGTGTCCACCCCGTGTCTCTCCCGTGTCCCCCCCCTCCCCCGTGTCTCTCCCGTGTCCCCCCGTGTCTCTCCCGTGTCCCCGCGTGTCTCTCCCGTGTCCCCCCGTGTCTCTCCCGTGTCCCCTCGTGTCTCTCCCGTGTCCCCCCGTGTCTCTCCCATG